CCGGCCAAGCGCCGGAGCCAGTTAACTGCCTCTTGTCCAGCAGTTCCTGACAGGCCAGGCCTACCTTCTACAAATCCTAAAGCTACGAGACGTCAAGATGTCTTTGCCTCTTAATTTTGCATCTAGGATCAAGCTGGGGAAAATCCGTTTCTTTACTCGCACTAACGTGCCTCCCGCGGCCGAGTCGATCCTGACCTACGGAGCTTAAACAGTCACCGCAGCGAGTTACAGCATAGTCCGATAATTCAGTGGGTCCGAGTCCATCCTTTATTGAGCACAGAAGTTGTCCGAGGTGTACACGCAGATTATGTGTCAATTATCTGCTTGGATCCCAGTTTCCCCCATTTGTCAACGTCACAAACAGTTTTAAAGTAACCATACCTGAGCAGGAGTACAGGAGTACAGCGAACAGAATGTTCTGTCAAGCTATACTCGACAGAAGAATTTTAAAAAGTTACAAAGAACAAACAGTTCAAGGATCTCAAGATTCTCCGTTACTAAAACAAATAAAGGGTAAAAAAGACAATTAGAAAAATTGCTACCCAGTAAATACTAAAACCATCTGTTCAGTCTGGTGAGCGTTCACTCACTCCCGGCAGGTCAAATCGTGAAGTCCCAAATACGCCACTAATAAATCGGCTGAAGGAGAAAAGCGCTTCGTAACTCTCATAAATTAACCGATGCGAGTTAATATCAGTCAATGACACTTCACCATACATCAGGAAATGGATCTTAGCAACTTACTTTTCCACCACTGATCTTGTTTAGCTCCTGCGCGTCACCTTCAAGACGTACACACGGAGAGATGAGGCCTTCTAGCGTTCGGATGTCCCTCTGGCAATCCGTGAGTACCTCTGAAGTCACCCTTTGCGCTCTCGACTTCTGTACTCTTCTCGAGGCACAGTTAATAAAAGGAGGTGCAGAAGCTATATTTAGAGAGCTTAAAACTTATGATTACAATTTGTAGTTCATTCGACGTTGGTATCAACAAAGCTTAAACCTGATTAAAATGCAACTCCAAAAACTGCAAGCCAGATTTTAACCTCATTGGGAAAGAAAGAAGCTCTCTTGATGACCTCACGTTTAGATCACCGTGTATACATGTGTGCTTTCACTTTAGAAACAGAACTCTTTGTCAAAGACAGCTCTTAAGAGGTCTCACTTTCATTGTAATTGATTTACATTAAACATGTACAATGCAGTTGAGGCTACAGAAAACATTACCATAATTGTTTTTTATATATATATATTTGCACACACAATTTTAGTTACACATTTGTGCCAATTTCAGTTACTCATTCTGCACGGCGCCTTGCCCACAGGCGTATGAAGACACGCTGAAAGGTAAAAGTCCAAAAGCCATTTTATTCTTTTTATGTTTATGAACGAGATTAACCTGCGGACCTCTAGCAATTAGCTCCGAAAAACAGGCTGATGCACAGAGTGGTCTTTGCCAGCTGGGTCACAACATGCTCATACCCTGACAAAGCTGTGCGTCAAAATGAGAAGACCCGGCAAGTAAGCTGCCCTCTGGTGCTGCAGTCTTAGGCTGAAGGAGAATCTAAGGAGCAGACAAAGTAAAAATGGCAGTGAATTAATGGCAACTACTTTAGCAACAGACAACCACGAAGCAATAATGACACCACCATCACCGCTTCTAAAACACCTTAAAATTTAGCTCATAACAGTACGGAGACTTTTAAGAGGAGGTCTGAAGAGGAGGCATATACACCAGGCACAAACGATACCAGTGCCAGCCCTGGGAGGAGAGCACACGCTAAGAAGGCTTATCAGTTTATTTCTTGCGAGGTCCGGAGGCTTGAACTATATAGTTCAATTCGTTTGATCCTTAAAAAGGTCATACTCGTAAAACATGAACATTTTCGGTCGTATTCTGCAACACCACCGCACGATGGATTCTTTGCATTAGGACTATAGAAAACAATGAAAGCATTCGTGCTGAAAAAAACGACACGAACTTTGCAAATTAAGTAAAATCCATCCTTGACTGGATGTCTTTCAACCTCCCAGTGGAGTGCAAGTCAATTGCTTGTCTTGATTTAATCAGCAAGTTTTGCCTTTATCAAGGATCAAGCTTAATGAACGTTTTGGTTAAGAATTCATATATATGTGTATATATACGCGCATATATATGTATCTGTATATGCGTGTGTGTATGCACGTGAGTGTAAAAATCAAAACCACGCCCAAAACAAGATGTTATAAACTCCTTTTACTTGTATTCTTTTAGACAGTATTTAATCAAGATTGTAACAACTTATTCTTAAATAAAGGTGGGAGATCAGACAGGAAATAAAGATAACACCACTTCTTTTTCAAATGTCACATTTAATGTTTTCACCACTGTACTTCAAATCTACATTTTACAAAGTGACCAGCAAGTGTGCCACATTAACTGACCAACCTCTGAGATTTTACCTTTCATACCAGTGTCTTCTTGGGCTCTTTTAATTAAACACGTTTCTCATTCAAGTGAATTGAAATGCTTCAGTTGGTTTTATTCTCAGGAGCCTCATAAAAAACAAAGATATTGCACCATCTTTGTTCAGTTATTCAATGTTTGTCTCTTTCACAGCAAATAATTACTTCATTGAAGTTAAAACTTCCAAACATAACTTACTAATAGTCTCCAATTTCAGCTCAGATCACTCTTGTTGAAAATACTCTGCTAAATACAGATAACTTACAATAACTTTAACAGTTAATTGTCCATAACAAACACCATGGTTTTTCTCCAGACCAATGCTCAAATTTTAAGACCACCCTTTAGTATTTCTTTGTACAGGTGAAAAACAGTCTTCAATTTTCTAGTCTTGTTTTAAATATAAAAGTTGGAAGGGACATTCAAGTTTCAAGTCTCCACACTGAACTTAAAAAAAAAAAAAAAAAAAAAAAAAAATCATGTGGAGGTAAACAAACCAAGTTGTATACTCCAGGAGGTAGAGGCCTTCAATTTGTGTTCATATATACATATGCACAGAATTCAGTGTTCCAACAGAAAAAGAATTAGCCAAAAAGTAATAAAAGTCATTTACTACTGTGACATTT